GTCTGTCTGTCTGCCTGTCTGTCTGTCTGTCTGTCTGTCTGTCTGTCTGTCTGTCTGTCTGTCTGTCTGTCTGTCTGTCTGTCTGTCTGTCTGTCTGTCTGTCTGTCTGTCTGTCTGTCTGTCTGTCTGTCTGTCTGTCTGGCTGTCTGTCTGTCTGTCTGGCTGTCTGTCTGTCTGTCTGTCTGTCTGTCTGTCTGTCTGTCTGTCTGTCTGTCTGTCTGTCTGTCTGTCTGTCTGTCTGTCTGTCTGTCTGTTTGTTTGTTTGTTTGTTTGTTTGTTTGTTTGTTTGTTTGTTTGTTTGTTTGTTTGTTTGTTAAACTTTATTGAGTACAAATTAATTCAACAAATATTCATCTAACATACAATTAAAGAGCTGTACTCAAACGGACAAGGCACAAACTGGACGTAAAGTCAATTGCATGGTGCCCCTCCTCTTCCTAACATAAACCTTTTAATTCACAGTATACTGTACAGGGTGTCCCAAAAAAAAAACCCCACTGGAACAACGCACTGCTAGAATCCGAACGCCTCAGCACCAACTGAACGCAAAGATGCGTAAAATATGATCGACATGATGCATATAATATGAGTATTGAAGAAATTAAAATATCAGACCGTCTTCGGTTTTTACCCTGAACCGCCTCACCGTAGTTACATAAGAGTAAGGCTGGGATTACACTATACCGGATTGATTTTCATACCGGATCAATTTTCACACCGAAGCCAAAATCAAGGGTGTTTACACCATGCCGCTTCGCTCTGTCGCCAGCTCGTATTTTTTATCGTTGCCACGGAAACAAATAATAAGTTTTGACCATTTTGGACGTTTTCTCGACAGTACTTGTGAATTATAACTTTGTTTACAAAGCTTGACCACCCGACGTTGCTTTGTCTCGCTCTTATCGAAAATTAACGAGTATTTCATTAAAATTTTGCCCTTTTGAAAGCAAGAAGTCAATGTTATTACCGCTATCTTTATTTGTCTTCGCTAGAAATAATAAATAATTGTAAAGCTAAGCAAACAACAGCTATAAAATATTTAAAAGCGAGTAAATAAAACGACAATGTTAAAATATACTTGCCGAAACCTATTTATAGTACCGGAGCGTCCCGGATTCCCTGATTACACTTGGTTTTATCCGGTACAGCACGTACCGGATTACTTTTCATACCACCTCCAAAGCGAAGTGATTTTCGCGCCGCGGCACGTACCGGATTACAGTGGCGTAGTGTAAACAAGAGGCCAATCCGGTACAGAAATCGCGTCGCTTCGATGCAATCCGGTATAGTGTAATCGGGGCCTAAAATAACACGGTAGGGTGCATTGCAGCTTAATGGGTTAAACGTTTTGTAGGTTGTCAAAGCTTTACATTATCTTAAAGAATCGCATGGAGTTATGCATAGGGGTAAGTTCAAACCTCAGTAAGTCTGTGACTAATTTCTCTAAGGATTGCAATGGTTTTGGAGGATTTTGCAGATAGCGTGGATCAGGAAAATGTATTGCATGGGATCATGTAGTTTTCCAAATCCATGCCAGAAGCGGATCTGGACTGATTTGTTAGAGGGGGTGGAGGTTGGTGGAGGTTTACCTGAGGGAGAGGCATTGCTAGGGGGGTCTGGGGAAACCTTTTGAAATTTGAAGCCCTGAAATGCTATTTCCTGCATTCTGAGCACTACATTTATTCCTTAAAATGTCCTCACAGTACTTGTATTTTGGGCAAAAATTAAGAAAAGCGCTACGTTTTATGGTGCCCCGCCGTATTGCTGCTTGAATACTTCACGCGTATTCGAAAATCAATCGTCCCAATATGTAATAAGTAGTATTCACAACTAAAATATGAAATACCAGAGTTTTCTTCAAGGGGGTGCTGGACACCACTAGGGGGGGGGGGGTGCACACTCCCCTGCACCCCACCTGTAGATTCGCCCCTGATTCACGCTACTAACATCCCGAGCTTGCCTTCGCTCGATTGTTGAAGTTCTACTTATATTCACAGTAACTACGCTGGCACAAGCCGTTCCAACTTCCATTGGGGTAGTTATAGACCCATTGCACATGACGTCACAGCGCCAGTGACGATGCATCTGGAGGACAAATTAGCAATCTATGCATAATATAACTTTTGTAAACAAAGCAAATCTTGTAAAACTTTATAATAATTTTGTATTAAAATGGTTAATTTTTGCATTGTATGTGGTTGTTGTACCCGAACAGATATTGTTAGGGAGCATCTGGAGGACACTCTAAGGATTTGTGACGTCAGTGCAATGGGTCTATAGCACTGTTTTCTAACTTTCCTAGATGTGAAACCTTCCAACATTTTACTGGACCGAGGAGGTTGTGTAAAACTTTGTGATTTCGGCATCAGTGGTAGACTGGTGGATTCAAAAGCGAAGACCAGAAGTGCTGGCTGTGCTGCGTATATGGCGGTAAGTTTGGCATCCGAATTGTGAGATGAAGCATTGAACGAGTTTTGAGATGCAGCATTGAACACATCTGCCATCAACCTATCTTCTATTATATTTTCCAGCCTGAACGTATCGATCCTCCTGATCCGTCAAATCCTGACTACGATGTTCGAGCAGACGTGTGGAGTTTAGGAATATCTCTGGTAAGTCATTTTGGGTGCTCACAAAAGTTTGTTAATGTCATGTGACGATTGGAAACGATGGATCACGATTTTTAGTCGTACCTATAAGGTAAAAATTGCCAACTAATAGAAGGGCTTCAGAATTTTCAAGGGATGGGGGGGGGGGCATATACCCTTCAACCGCACCTCCACTGAAAATGTTGATTTCTGAAGCGTGCTGACTTTTTCATGGTGGTGCCCATCTACTGTACTTGTCCCCAAAAAGCCATCTTAGTATAAAACTATGTCGTTCTTCATAATAGGTGGAGCTAGCTACGGGAGAGTTCCCTTATAAACAATGTAAAAATGAATTTGAAATCTTAACAAAAATCATTGATGAAAGCTCACCGACGTTACCGCCCGAAAAAGACTTCTCAACGGAGTTTCAATCTTTTATAACGCAATGGTAAGAGAATTCATGTATTTGTCAGGATGATATTTCTAACTTGTTTTCAGCAAGTGAGAAATTGGTTAAGGAGTTTTATCTATAATTTTAAAAGTTCTTTCAAACACGCCGGGTCAGCTCTTCCCAAAAATCGGCCATCTGATATAAACTTTTTCAATATATTTCGGATGGGCATGAAACTTGCTACATCAATATAACTTTCCATTCCGAACAATCGTATGTTTTTTATTTTTGAGATTTAACGGGTTTTGGCGGGAAAATGACGTCACGAAACCTCCAGTTAAAATTTATTTTCAATATCTTAATAGTTTTTAAGCAGAATGTGGAAGATCATGTCATGAAGAGTTCAAAACTGAAAAGAGATTTTAAATATCTTAATCTAATCACGAGATACAGGGAGTTTAGAATCGAATTTTTCACCATTTTGTTACTATTTTTAGATTTTTCACGGTTTTTATAGTGAAATAACTTTGGATTAGGTTTAGATATTTAAAATCCGTTTACAGTTTTGAACTGTTCATGACATGTTCTTCCAAATTCTGCGACAAAACTATTAAGATATTGAAAGTAAATTTTAACTGGAGGTTTCGTGACGTCATTTTCCCGCCAAAAACCGTTAAATCTCAAAAATAAAAAAACATACGATTGTTCGGAATGGAAAGTTATATTGATGTAGCAAGTTTCATGTCCATCCGAAATATATTGAAAAAGTTTATATCAGATGGCCGATTTTGGGGAAGAGCTGACCCGGCGTGAAATGAGACAAGCTAAACTTTATTGACATATGCTTCCACGGGACGCAATGACACTAAAACGCATTTTATAGACATCTTTAATTCAATCAAAATATACACAATTGAAATTTAAACGTTTTACTTAGTCTTGGTATATAATTCGGCTGAATTTCTTCATAGTTTACACAAGAACAGAGACCAACGTCCGAAATATCCTAAATTACTGGTAAGTCGATCATTTTCTTTCAAATGTGCCTCCTCAAATAGAATGATTCATAGAAATGAATAATCCATTGGAATGTTTCTGTAGCTTATGAACCACTGTTGTTTTCCTTGACAAGTTTTATTTGCTCGTGTGTACGGTAAAAAGATGACAACTTGCCAAGGAGAACCTTGTTCCGATGCTAGTCATGGCAGCTTTTGGACAAGGAAATTTGTTTGTATAAGAAGTACTTCTATGTATTTTTTTTGGCAAAGAAAAAGTGACCTTGATGTGAGATATATGTTTAACAACATTCCGTGCACACGATCGAGCAACAAAACCTGTCAAGGGAAACTTGCTGGACTGCACAGGGCGTAAAGGTTGGGAAAGGTTTTTTGACCGATCAAAGTCCTTGTGTAGGAGTAAATAGTGTTTTTTCCAACGTGTTGCTCCTTAGATGCAAACAATGGTAGCTTGGTTTTGTACATTTCATTTCCGGTGAATGAACACTGAAAAATGAACACTGAAAAATGCACCCGATGGCAGTTGGTTTTGTATATTTCATTTCCGGTGAATGAACACGGATGCACACCGATTACACTTTGTTTTGTACATTTCATTTCGGTGAATACACACCCAATATGAATGAAACGCGATACATTTTGAGAAAATAGTTAATGCGAAAATGTAAATAAAACGTTCTTTGATATAACAATATAAAATCAAACGAAATGCACTTTCTCATCAGAAAAAATGAAAATCTTCCAGTAGACCCAGTTGGGAAAGCCCCTTAGCTACTTCATTTGGGAAGAGTCCGTCAAACGGACAGTATATGGGCTAGCTAACACCCTGGGTGAACAGTCACAAATTAACTCTGTTTAACTCGTAGGAGAATTGTGTGCTTGATTTACACAGTACAACTCAAATTGTAAGCAGGTTGCTAGACTTGCCACAAGTCGACCATGGAGGAGGGAGGGCGCGGGGAAGGGAACGCGCGACCCGAGCGACGAAGCGAAGCGCGCCATAGAAGGGTCTGGAAAGGACTTTGGAAAGTCTAGCAGGTTGCTTGCGACAGTTTCAGGCAAAAGTTGTGTAGTGTAAAGTGTAAAATTGTGTAGTGTACAGTATAGTTGACCGTTAATGGTAAATTAGCGCTATCAAATTACCTCGGCGTTTTTCCTGTCCGCCATTTTGCGCAAAACATAAGTATGTTCCATCATTGCGCACATTGAAGTATTGCGCAAAACATAAGTATGTTCCATCGTTGTTACTGCGACTGTGCATGGGTAGATGAAAACGACGGTAATCGAGTATATTTCCTTCCAGGGCGAGCCGTTCATTAAAAGGTACGAAAAGGAGGAAGTGAACGTTGGTAAGTGGCTAATACCTTGTTCAACGTCGGTATAGGAGTTCTTGGAAATCTATCCTTTCCATGGCAACAGCTGCGTCACGTCACCGATGACGTCAGAGTATTCCCTTTACTCTGTAAGGTAATATTTATTTATTGCGAGTGACGCACAGAAAGTATTCCCCAGTAAAGCGATAGAAACGCACAATATGAATAATGGCATAAGCTTTTCTCCAAGACGCCAGTGTGGCATTGAGGGTGACATTAATGGCAACTTTACATTACATTTTAACCGCAGAATGAAACATTTGCATTGCTGAAAGCGAAAGGTAATGGCCTTTATGGACCGCTAATTATTTATGGCGTAGTAAAAATTTTGCTGATCTAACCATTAAAATGTCAATTTTTTTACCCAACCTCAAATATCAAAAAATACATACCCATCCCTGTCCAAAAACTTTACAAAACGATACCATTCAGTTGTCACACATGTCCTTTACCACTTCTGTGACATGAGTTCGATAACTGCTTGTGCAATTTTCTGCAGTCTAAAGTTTCATGTTGTCTGCACATGTACTTTCTTTGGAGACACCATTTGCTTCCTGACAAATTGCTTTTTTAGTCTTCAATATTTGAGCGAGTCGCTCTTTGGAAATCACAATACATTTTTATTACCCAACCCTTGAGTTGATTTTTATTTACCCAACATTTTACTCACTTAAAATTTTGTTTACCCAACCCTTTTCTCTCCGGTGCCATCCCCCCCCCCCGCCATAAATAATGACCGGTCCCTTACGAGCTTTAAAAAAAAACTTTGAAAGGTGTATGCATTTTTTGGCCTGACAATTTACAGGCAACTTTGGCCAACTTTTGTGGCGGTGCAAACCTTCGTCAAAGGTACAATAATATAATTTGCGTCTTTCTATGAAAGCTTTTTGACATCATTGTAATCACAGAAACCTTTATAGTGTAAAAGAGTCAACCTTGTCCCCAGAGCATTTTGCCCGATCAATTCTACAATCCCATTGGTCTGTTCAAAAACGTATTTATTCCTATTTGCAGTATAATTTACTCAAACACCTTTAGTGCTTCAAAAAATTCTTGTCTTCAAATTATACGATAAACTTAAAGTGGAAGTCAAGTCCGTTCTGCGCATCGGTTCTGCTCATAACAATGTGACGACCTCTAATTTCCTCTAATGTGAACATTGCCCAAATTTCGAATGTTTCGAATTTTTCTGAACATAAACTCTATTTCATATTCATTTAGAAGCATAGCGAACCAAAATGGTGTTAGATATTCAGACAGTACATCATATTTAAAAAAATACAGCAGTTCAAAATGTAAACAAACCGTTTGTTTACATTACGGACTTGACTTCCACTTTAAGAAAATACCGAGAGTATAGTCAAGATTCACTTACGTCCTATTCTTGTCGTGCTATGTGTTTGTCATACTCGTGGATATGAGAGGAATTATGCAAGCATACTGCTCTAAAACTAACGTCTTTAGATGAATAAGTTGGCAAACGGTTCATTACTTCACATTATTATTCGTTAGCAAACAACAAAAATTTAATTTCACATAAATGATCGTATCAAAACACCCACAAATTCTGGGTGTCATGTGACCAGCCGATCCCAGGGTCCTTTTCGCCGATCTTCAACAGTGGGGGCAAAATACCCCTGGGGACGAGGTTATAAAAGGGTCTTAAGATATTAAGATGACTCTTTGTAGAGCCCATTTCATAATTAAACAAATGAATTGCCCGGCCAGGAATTTCCCGATTTCCTTGTGGGCCATCATTTAGCACGTGATTTAGCCATTATTCATCATGGTTGTTGCATCAAAGATAGTCTGAGACATATTTTTTATTTACACTCTTAAAAAGTTGTAAAATTAGCAAATTCACACGAACCAATGTTCAGAATACACAGTTACCAATTAAAGTTGTAAATATAATTTTTAGCTATAAATAGATAGAATTATGAGTTTTAATTTGACGAATAGTAAATAAAATTGTACTAAACAAAGAACCAACATTCTATACCACCCATTTTTAATCACTTAAACAATTCACCCGTTTTACCGTTTTTATGGTCCTATACTTCAGGTCGCTATTTTTCACTCTAATAACTTCTGGTTTACCACATAATGCAGAATAAATCCACCTACATAAATGCTCGTTCAAACGGACCCAGCGTTGTTTGAACCATCCAACAATTTTCAGATAATGTTTCACAAATATTTTATATCGCATATTTTCAGTTCAAATCAGTGTTCAATATGAGTCTGAAATTTTGGTCTGACAACATAGCAGCCAGCGCACAGTAATTATTAATAGGACTTATGCATGCAAAACGGAACAGTTGTACAAAACATTGCGTTGCAATTTCATTTACAATATATACTTCAACCATATGACGAAGTAGAAAGGAATCTCAATTGATAAATTATAGTTTATATAGTATATTCTAACAAAGTAAAACTTTCTTTGCATGTGTAACAGATTAGTAAGAGTCTAAGAGGCTGTTTTTGTTTTTTCAAGAACGAGGGGAAAATTATTCAAAATGGCCGACGCATGACCGACTGTCACATTGAACAATGAATCTTCCCAAATATTTGAAAATAAGCAGTTAACGAAATATCTCAAAATTGCTGCAAAATTTGGGGGCAACATTATTGGGTTTGTTTGAACGGCTTTAAAAATACCAGTCATTCACTACTCGCATAAAAGATTCCTGATTACTGCGGTCCTACTCTGCCATATATATCATGGCGTCTATGTTCCCACACCGGCATCTGTTCTCTCACTTTCTTGAGATATTGAAAATCAATCTCAGCCACGCAGACATCTTCACCTTCGTGGCATTGTGCTACGATCTGGCCCCATGGGTCTACAACCTAAGACAAATAGAATACTTTAGTTGAGATGATGTCTGATGAACGTTTTGGGGTTGTTAGTGGATATAGATGTCCAGTAAGAGGCATCCTTTATATGTACACTCGTTGTTACTACAAGAAAGAAGATTTATACCTACGGAAAAAAATCTGCGGCGTTTGGTAGAGTCGAATGGACCTATTCCCTAATGAACACAATTTTGATCTAGACAAGTCTAGACAAACATTTTATCACAGCTTGAAAGAGCATCACAAAATTAGTAATATTCCAAAGTTTCATTGCGAAATGTTGTAAAATGCGGATAATATAGCACTGCGAAGTTTGCCGTTTTTCGGTCATTTTGTATTACGCACGGGAAATTGATGCCGCTTTCTGAAAAAAGGTATCAATTTCCCGCGCGTAATACAAAATGACTGAAAAACGGCAAACTTCGCATGGCTATATTATCCGCATTTTACAACATTTCGCAACGAAACTTTGGAATATTACTAATTTTGTGATGCTCTTTCAAGCTGTGATGAAATTTTTGTCTAGATCAAAATTTTGTTCATTAGGGAATAGGTCCATTGGAAGCACTCTTCTCACATGTTACCGAGGTAAAATTATAATCAGACGACTGCATTCTGCACTGCAAACAATTTCTCTTACCATTGCGTGACCGTATGATCTTCGTTTCACGTTATGCTGTCCAGTTTGAGCCGCTGCTATCACATAGCACTGTGTCTCAATTGCTCGCGCTCTCAGTAAAGACTAGAATGAAATAGAGATGTGCATAGAATGTGTATACATACACTAGGAATTACTAGCGCAAGAAGAGTCTCGGCTCAAGTGAGGACTTTCCAAAATGGGCCTTGGTGGTTGAAGTGGCCTTTTCCCAATTGTACGTCTTCGTTTGTCTGGATGGAGAGATTCGTAACTTGATGTTTCAAAGGCCGTCTGTTGACATAGGGCAAAACGATTTGCCATTGTATTTTTGTGTGTGTTTTGATGTTATGTACTAGGTGAATATAATGTTTTTGATGTTATTCTGAGTGTATATCCACACCGGGCAGGCTGAAAAGTTAGCCGGTGTGGATATACACTCAGAGTAACATCAAAAACATTATATTCACCAGAGTACATAACATCAAAACACACACAAAAATATCATGATCATATAATACATTGGTATCGAAGGTACTAGACTTAGTTCCGAAATACCACACACTCCACAGGTCGCGGGTTCGATTCCCACCGATTTGCCATTGGTTCAAATTCGTTGGATCCATGTCGAATGGACAATCCGATGAATTGAACAGCTGGACATAGGCGTACAGGAGGGAAAAATTAGGGGGGGGGGGGCAGAAAGACATTTGCCCGGCCTATAAAACATTTTCCGGGATTGAAAAATTCCAGTGAGACTCAGAAATAGTATCCAAAACCATAAATACTCGCTTCTTACCTCCCAGTGTGCTGCTCCAGTGATAAATGTAAATGCTGAAGGATAAGTTAGGATATCGGATCCTTTTTGGGCTAAACTGAGAGAGAGTTCTGGAAAGCGCAAATCATAGCACTTCATTGGGTTAAGAAAATAATTATAATCTTGTCTAATAAAATCGTGTCGAAGCTGTAAGCTTTGTCACAAATTGGTGCAACAACTCTGGTACAACTTGCTCGTAACAAATTGTTATGAAGTTGACACAACAATCTTGTAGAAACTTGTTAAGTATAGTCTTGTTGGACCAATTTGTGACACAGCTGATGAAATCAATCAATTCAGAAAGTGTAGTGGTAGACATTGCAGAGAAGGTGAGGGAAGCAAGGTTGAAATGGTACTGGACACATAATTAGAAACGATTTAGGAGAACTGTTAGAGACATTATGGAATAAGGATGAAGATGTTAGGTGGTAGACATCGCAAAGAAAATGAGGGAAGCAAGGCTGAGATTGTATGGACACACAGTTAGCAACGATTTAGGAGAACTGTCAGAGACATTATAGAATAAGGATGAAGATGTGAGGTGGTAGACATTGCAAAGAAGATGAAGAAGCAAGGCTGAGATGGTATGGACACACGGTTAGAAACGATTTAGGAGAACTGGTCAAAGACATTGTGGAATAAGGAGATCAGAAGATGTGAGCTAGTAGACATTGCAAAGAAGATGACGAAGCAAGGCTGAGATGGTATGGACACATCAATAGAAACGATTTAGGAGAACTGGTCAGAGACATGGAATAACGAGATGAGATGAAGATGTGAGGTGGTAGATATTGCAAAGAAGATAAGGGAAGCAACGCTGAGATGGTATGGACACATCAATAGAAACGATTTACGAAAACTGGTCAGAGAGATATACACTCCCTTCTCGGAGACCAAGTGAAACAGAATATGCATGAGAATTTCTCACACATATTCTGTTTCACTTGATCTGTGAGAGGGGAGTACTGAGAATACCAGTCTGCGCCAGTGTAGCTAGTGACAAAAACACCAAAAAACTGCGGATGGATAGAAATTGCCGCTACCTGAAAAATTAGCGAAGGCCCTTCGTTGAGAGGTTCTGGTATAAACTTCTGGTAAAAAGGAGATAGACGATGTAAAATGGACCTGTTACCTAATGAACAAAATTTTGACCTAGACAAACATTTTACCACGGCTTGAAAGAGCATCACAAAATCAGTAATATTCCGAAGTTTCGTTGCGAAATGTTGTAAAATGCGGATAATATAACACTGCGAAATTTGCCGTTTTTCAGTCATTTTGTATAATACGCACGGGAAAATGATACCTTTTTTCAGAAAGCGGTATCAATTTCCCGTGCGTAATACAAAATGACTGAAAAACGGCAAACTTCGCAGTGCTATAATCCTATATTATCCGCATTTTACAACATTTCGCAACGAAACTACGGAATATTACTAATTTTGTGATGCTCTTTCAAGCTGTGGTGAAATTTTTGTCTAGAGTTCACTTGTCTAGATCAAAAGTTTTGTTCATTAGGGAATAGGCCCATTGGGTAAAAGAAGAACACTTCTTCATTCAAAGATACAATTGAAAGACCAACGTTTCCAACTGGTGTTTTGACCACAGGAGGCATTTCTTTCCCAGGTATAAAACTATCTGATTCCTTCAACGTAATTCCGCCTTTGATGTCGATATCAAATAAATGTAGCTTGCTGTATTTGCCAGCGATGTTGCCATGGTTATCAAGAATAAGATGCGTGTTGTAGATACGAGAGTCTTCAGATGTGCTCTGGATAATTTTATTTGAACCATTAAATCAACCAAACTATTTCACTTTGTCTAACATCAAATTATTTTACTTTTCAATCTTATTAACCCATTAAGTAGACTTGCCACAAGTCGACCATGGGGGAGGGAGCACGCAATCCGAGAGACGAAGTGGAAGTGAAGCGCGCCATAGAAGGATCTGGAAAGTACTTTGGAAAGTCTACCCATTATTAAGCTTCAATGTGCCACACTGTCCTATATTTCTATTTTACTCTGTCTTAGAGCAAAATTATTTTGTCTGTCATTGGAAAACGTGTTTGGTATTAAAAGTTTATCTGTCAGGGGTGGTGATGTGGGGAGGGGTGCAGATAATGTGGGGAGGGGTGCAGATTATTTTGAGAGGGGGGGCTAGGTTCCAACACATTGCTTTTGCATTGCACTAGCCATCACACTTCAAAAATCATGGGAATTTTTTTCAATGCTTAACTTTTTGAGAGGGTGCTGGATATTGATGTGTGTGTGGGAGGGGGGGGGGAGAGGTGTTGGCTATGATATCTCAAATGAGGAGGTCTAGTGTTCTATAGCATTAGTCAGGCTGAGGTTTGTTTATTGATATACCTTTCCTGGTAGATCAGACCCACTGCAGTGTCATCAGATTTACAGGTAATTTGCACATTACCAGAGTGACTGATTTGCTAAAATGCTCACTAGCCACACCCCTGCCCTTAACCCCGCCCCTACAGCTAACCAGGTAACTTTTTTTTAGTGTTACATACTTTTTCATGAAAACCTCCAAGTGACAACCAAATATCGAGATCTTTTGCCATCTGAGACAAATCTTTGATAATTGGTCCATCGACAGAGTGTGCAAGAGAGAGACACATCTCTTTATTTTCTGAGATGTAATCAAATGCTTCTGGTAAAAACACCATCTAGAATAATGAGAATGACAACTCTGTGGTGCTAATAATTTTGGCCACAACAAGTCCAATGCACAGGTAATCCAGCCAGCAAAAGAAAGGGTCCAATTTGACTGGAACTACTGCTACCATTAAAGGGCCATTAATTAACCAATCAGATGCATTTGATTTTTCTGATCAACCTGGTAGCAGTACTTAGTAGACGTAAAATCTCAACCTCTCTAGTATTATTAAAGAGAGGAATGACTGGGACCATAGACTAGGTATGTATAAAAGGTCATAAAAGTCGGACGAGATCGTATTAATTTAAGGCACATATAAAAGTTGGACGAGACCGGTAGTAAGACCGGACCAGACCCCAACTCTGAATCAAACCCTGGGCAGGTATAAAAGTCGTACCGGATTACCATTCCAGTTCTAGGGTTAGGGGATAGAGTCCAGTCTGGTTCCAGTCCAACTAGTGATCCAACTTTTATACCTGCCTCGAAGGTTTTACCCACATTCAAAATTTAACCATAGAATTGTAGGATCACTGAACCATGGTAGTATAGAATCATGTGAATCGTGAAACCATAGAACCAAGGTACCGCAGAACTGCGCAACCAATCCACAAACCTTGGCTCCACGCTGTTTGGCTTTTGTGACCAACCTTTTGCACGACTCAATATTCTTCTCCACATCACTACCTGACGTCATTTGGCATACACCCACCAGCAATTCACTCATACTCGATACCGAATGAACCAATCTAGCTCGTTGCTGGAATATATATGCAGGTAAGCCAAATGTATTTTTTGTTGCAAATAAATTAATTAGAGGCCTCATTAGAATTCTCACTCAAATCTGAAGAGGTTACAAAACACATCATTCCACTTTAAGTATGAGAAACTCGTTCTCAGTCCCTTCCACAGAATAAATGCAGGCTCAGAAACCTAAGTGACTCGCGAAAATTTTGTTATAAAATTCATAAATTCACGCATTTATACATAATATAAAGGTAATTTTGATAATATTTTAAGTAGTTCTAGTCTTTAAAAATTTAGACAAAATGTTGAAAGAACGTTTAATCGTTTATTCGTAAAAAATTTTCACAGATAAAAATTTTGCATTTTCGAAAGTGGTCAGCGAAGAACGTGGTGTTGTGCAAATTATAGTGTTTTACACGTGGAATTCAACATGGCTGCTGGTGGGAGTATAAATCATCCAAAATCCATCCGTGTAAGTTATTTAGAGAGGTTTATTTGTTGTTGTCATATGCTATAATTGAGAATGCGTGTATTCTAAATTTCTGGTGATGTTTCTGAAGCGTCACGGTAGAATATTCTATACTATATCTCATATTTGTCCATTGTCGTGACCATTGATTTAATGATTTTCACCCAATCATGTTTATATCAGTTATTTAATACCAAAACCACAGATGCTTCCTCTCACCCGAAAAAAAGTGTCATGTTTTTAAGCAGACTACTACTCCATTTGGCTACATGTTTTCATTATTCGACGCTTGCCGCTAAGGGGCCACGTCCATATTCATGTTGCCACGCATAACGTCGAATCGATTTTTTTGACAGATTTTTTCGTGTCAAATACCAGTCAATATGTGTTCGCGAATGCAACATTTTTCTGTGAGACAAATAGTTCAGTATGAAAATAATAATAAAACATATCCTATAAAACTTCTCATATTTTATAATAAAGATCCTACATCCCATATTTTATAAGAGCCACTTTACCATTTTGATTTTTAGCTCTTTTAGCGGTCAAAATATGACAGGGTAACAATCGACGTTATCTGACGTGTGTGGGTGGGTACTGGTGATAACGTTGATTCGACGTTATGCGTGGCAACATGAATATGGACGTGGCCCCTAAGGGAGAGGGGGTTGCGACCTTAATGGCCAACTCGCCGTTAAGCATTGATGATGAAACCTATTTGTCGATGGCCCCTAACCTTGGTTACTATGTAACCTCATAAACATTCAGGAATGCGACTACATTCCTACGTCTATTACTGTCAAAATGGGAAACTATTTTTAGCTATTATAATTCCTCACAGACCAATCAGACACACACTTAGGAATGTGAGCGCATTACACAAGAAGAACGGCCCATGGTTTTGGCAATATATGCAGGTCCAAACGGTCAAAACATTAATTTGGTTGATTTCCAGGAAAAGTCAAAGAGAAAGGTGAAGAAAAAGGTGAAGAAAAAGAGGTTAAATGTGGATCCACTCACAACTTCTCACATCATCAAGAAAACAAGGTATTCATGGTATTTTTGAATAGGTCTTCAAAAAACCGGGTTTTTTTTTCTGGTTTATCAATTAACTGCCTCACCCTAAGCCATCAGATTGAGGTAAAGAAAATGTAACTTTGCAGAACAAATCCAAATGCAAATATAACTCTCTCTGGAAAGAAGAGAAGACTTCTCTTAAAACAACTCAAGCGGGAAGAACAGGACAAGAAAAAAATGGACGGTATGTAATCTCATTCCTTTCAACTTAAATGTCTTGCAATATAATATTCATTCAATGTCACGAAAGAAGATTTTTGTCTAAAATTTTTTATGCAGTGGAAATTATTGAAAAATCCAAACCAGAAACAGCAAAGAAGGGGAAGGATAAGGACTCAGTGGAGAAAATGGACATGACATAATGTCCGGAATCTCCGACATATGAAGAGCTGACAAAAAGATAGCAATCATGCACATGTTTTTTAAGGAGATTTTTAATAGAGGGAAGTGGAACAATGAATAGACCTTATGCATAATGACTTCACAAAGCTTGATACCTGTGAGGAATGCTGGTCTTAATAGTCACTGACTGGGAAAATTTTCATAGTGGCCATTTTGAATTGTTTAATTTTCCCAGGCGATGACTACTAAAACCAGCATTCATCGCGGGCATCAAGCCTTATGACATCATTATGCATAAGGTCTATTTGAAAATGAATAATGACAGGCCTGCCTTGGAATATCAGTCCGTCATGGATATTGTCCAACCCATTTGTGAAATTGTCCGACCTAGAGGGGAAACCACTGGACATTCTGTCCGACCTAAGATGTGAAATTGAGGTTTATTGTTTGTCTGACCCAAGGCATAACGAACATTTTGTCAGACGATTCACTGACTGATATTTTAAGGCCCGATGATGAATATTATAAATCAAGAATAAATTCATGAGTATCAGATTTATGATGGGAAAAGAAGTAAAGAATATGAATTAGAAACGAAAACGAAAGAAATAACGCGAGACCTCCACACTCGCAGACTAGAGAAATTTGTTGTCGATGACAGTTCGTTTTTGACACCTTTTATTTTTTGATTATCGGTAACTATTTTGCTAGTCTGTGGAGGGCTTTATCGTATTATGATTGCGTACCGTTACATTTATTTAATCTTCTTAATCGTCATTTATGAATGAATTATAAATATACTTTAGACATTGTTTCGTAAAAACTTGATAATTTTTGCTTGCGGGTGCAATGTAGTTTTGTAAATTTATTATATAAAATTGCACTCAGTAATTCTGTCAGAGTATCTCTGGTTTATTCTTCAGTTTTTTAATCACATATTCTGGCATACAAAATACAGGATTCACTTCCTTTACATCACTGCCATAATCCAACAAAGATAGACCTGCTATTCCAAATAATGTATGAAATGGATCAGCCTGAAAAAATAGTACAATTGTGAATTGTCAAAAAACACCCACGTAATATCGGACATGCAAGTTGGTGGCATTTGATCGCAAATGTTTCCTTCAAATGTTCAGCAACAATATGTAGCATTGTATTGGGTGTCCATAGTGAGAATAGACTGAATGGAACGAAGTTTTATCACTCCACTATTCAAAAGATTGAAATTTCAATATGTTTTCTGGGGGGAAATTGTTTAGTTATTTAAAGTGAATTTTTAACGATCGAAAGTCAATTCTGTTTGGGGCGACAGATTAAGAAACTTTTACGTTTTGCCTTATATCAAGGTGATTGTGAAAAAAGGAAAACTGTTTTACTTTTCGGCGACGTTTATACACTGTATAAGCTTTCCGTAGGGACGTGAAAAAAACGCCTATCCGTACCTGTTAAGGACCATTTCCATTCAAGAAAAATTTCCACGGAGAGAAAATTTTCCGAAAATATCATTGTTTAAAAGTTGAAAATTTTCAACTTCAAAATTTTTTTCCGACGGAAAATTTGTGTCGACCAATCACATTTTACAAAATTTTCTTTCCTCGGAAAATTCCCTTTCTTTAGGAACGCTATTTTGAGAACGAAGAGATGTTGTTTCGCTCAGCTTCTGAAAGTTGTACATTCCGTATCGCGCCGCTATGGCTTTTATACTAACCATATCTCCGGGTCTATCAGCAAAGCCACCCGTTTCATCGTCTTGACATGCCAGAATAAATTCAACTAACTTCTCCTAGATTGAGACATTTCTATTAGTTACGCAGACGATCTACTTGTCAAGGGGAGAGCCTTGTGCATTAACCCATTGAGCGCCAGCAAACTCCCCTTGACGAGCGCCAGCAATGTCCCCTCGCGTACTTACGTACCAGAGGTAACTTCTTTGTTTTCAACCAAGTGCCACGTATCTGCGTACTTACATTTTACTGGTCCTGCATATGACCTTTCCAAGCCATATAATTTATGTGTAAGCCGGACATCTCTTGTCATGAAACCATTCTCGTACCCAGAGCCCTTCTTACGCGCGGTGCGACGAGGGGCTCTGGCCAAATCCATAACCGGAAACCATAAAAACATGGTAACAAAACAATATCCGGTGTTATAACTAGCCACTCAGATGCCAGTTCGGATATGGATTTGGCCAGAGCTCCTCGTCGCACCGCGCGTAAGAAGGGCTCTGGGTACGAGAATGGTCATGAAACATGACAACCTCGTTCCCAGGCTCTTTCCACTTTAAAGAGTCTGGGAACGAGGTTGGAAACATGATTGGACTGATGGAACTAAGGAATGTTGGAGTCAATGTGCAATTGTCCTCCTTGTTCTAACTTGTAGTTTCAGGTTACGGAATGAATTCCTTTCAGAAACCTGTACTTCAAAGACGAGTCTTAAGTTTGTACGACTAAAAATCTTGAATTATCGCACACTGAACTCTGGCGTTAGACAGAATAACACAATAAAGTAGGGCACAATGCAACTTAACAAGTTAATGGTTTAACCAGTCTCTTGGCAACCCTGTTACCCTACCTTGTTTATCCAATGAATTTTTCCGATTATTTTCAAGGAGGCTAACACCCACCACGAGTAACATACATCAGGCAGCTTCTCAGGTCGTCCTAAAATATTTGTGAAAATGAAGGCTACGTTTTTACACTTGTACCGGATAGGTTTCCCTAGCGACGTGAAAAAACACATATCCATACCTTTTAGGAACGCTATTTTCAGAGGAATTATTGCAACGGAGAGATGTTGTTTCGCTCAGCATTTGAAAATTGTACATTCCGTATTGGATAGGTGCTTTTTCATTCCGGTATCGTGTAAACGTAGCCTAACGTCGCCATTGGTCACCCAATACGATGATCTATCAACGTGTTGGGTGACCAAGTTGTACAACATCCTAGCAGGTAATAATATTTTTGTTTCTGGGATCCTTTTTTTTGGAGTCATTTTCTGCCATATTATTTAATATTCTTCCCAATAAACCATTTTCTGCCCCGGTTAGCATTATGCAATGCCCTAACATTTTCTGCCAGCAAGCAGGGCTTGAATTTTATCGCGGCAATTGCCGTAGAGGGAGAACAAAATGCCGTGGATCATTGCGGCAACGACGGCAATGTTTTGCCGTCTAGTGCAATTTTTATACTATTCACTGTGCATTACTACTTTGATACTTGAATTCAGATGTTGATCAAATCATGCGTAAATCACTATTTTAGTCTCAGTTTTCTTCGAAAAAAAAAACACTAAAAAAATACGTAGACATGTTTCTAGCTTGTCAACAATCCAAAGTAACAATAAAATTAAATTTTTATTACAGTAATTTGAAAAATGCCGTGGAAACTGCCAAAATTGCCGCAGACAGCTGTTACGTTCTACGGCAATTTTTAACGCCATTGCCGTCGATTGATTTCAGGGAAATTTGAGGCCTGGCAGCAAAGCCAGGTCTGAAAATGTTCTGGGACCTAGATGCCAAGGATCCACCGTTATTTTCTGCTATATACAACATATCGTACCATTGAGACCGCCCGAAGACAACTGTCTTTCACATAACCACCATCCCAGCATATCAACATTGACATGGTACAATCTGTGGGTAATTGCTAAAACACCTAGACAACAATAAATCTATAAAAAAACAACAAGAAATACAGCCATGTGAGTCATAATCCAAGGTTGTAAATTGGGTAACAGCATGATATATATGCGTTGGCCAAATTTGTCTGCAGTTTAATCATCCAAAAATGGACTATAAAGGGAAAAAGCAAAGGGTCCGTAGTACAAAGGTGTCCGTCTATGAGAATTGTATGAGAATTATCTATATTGGGACATTGGAAACTGTCTGTCAATAATATAAAGACGTCGTTATATGAGAGAATCCGTTTTTAGAGAAGACGTGTTCATGTGAGAGTCTGAATTGGAAAGGCGTCCGCATTAGAGAGGTATCCATCAGGGGTGTATATTCTTCTATAATTCCCCCTCCCCCTGGGGGGGGGGGGG